CCGGAGCCTTTTCTTTTTGTTACAGGTCTGTTGAAGCCATCTATTCTGCCGGTGTTCTCCAGCTGATTACTAGGCGGGCAGTGTGGTCAGAAAATTACCCACACAATTTGGCGTCGTCTGTGGGAAGCTTAGAAGAATAGATGGCCAGTGACGGACAGAGGGAAAACATTGGGGCGACACTCCTGCTAGGAGTGGCAGACCAATTGATCTTGACGTTGAAGAAGACAACCACAGTACAGAAAATCATGACCAGGGTCACGGAGAGAAAGACGTCGGCCAGGAGGGCGGTACTTCGAAGCGAACAGACCAAAGCAAGTATTATAACGAAGATAACCTTCAGGTATGGAGGGATAGGTGCCTACGGAGAGATGAGGAAGTAAAAGACTTGGCAAACAAGTTGGCAGACCTACAGTCAGTGGTCAACTTCATGATGCAAAACAATGTTATGCAGCCACCATACCCGCTGCAAGATACACCAATGCCAGCAATTCATACCCAGAAGGGAGGAAGGAAAGCAATCCCCGAAACCCCTCAGCACACCAGAAGTGGAAGACACTCACACCGGCCTTCCAGGGAAGTCGAACGAGAGGAGCCGAGGCAAGAAGAGTCCCGAAGGACACATCGAATGAAGGATCCAGGGCATAAAGAACATCGGCATGTTCAAGGGAAATATGTATAAAAAATAGAATAAATATATTATTTATATATTTAAATAATATAAATGTAAATAATAGTTAAATTTATTTATATGTAAATAATAGCTAACTATAGATAATACATTTATATAAGATATTAATTTTTTTTAATATGTTTATATATATATATATATAATTAATTGTATTATCAAAATTTCAATTATAATTATAATTTTATATATAAATATGAATTTATAATTTCTTTAGTTTATTAAGGCTCGTGAACAAACTCGAGTTCGAATAAAGCTTAAATCAACTCGGCTCGAGCTCAGTTATTTTTATTGAGCTTGGGCTTAGAACTCAAACTTGTTAAAAACTTAGTAAATAAGCCCATACATATTAAAACTCGGCTCGGCTCAACTCGGCTCGTTTACAATCCTAAATGTAATATATTTGTGAACTGGGAGGGTGCGGATCTATTTTGATAATTCAAACGGTTTATATTGTAGGTTTCGTCATGTAAATCATTCATGTAAAAAATCAAATCAATTAAACATTTGAAACTCATTACAAGATCACATTTATGTTTAAATAAAATAAACGATTAACATAATTTTAATAATTTTTTTAGAAGCAATTATGGTCCAATCATGGAGTTATACATGTTCAATTAACTTCGTTTTTTATATAAATGCTATAATCGACAAATCTTATAATATGAATGGTTCGAATGATCAAAATAAAATCGTGAAAAACCTCAATTGCTGTGACAACACCCTCCTTTATCCTATACTTAAATACTTCCTCTTGATACGATTTCAGCTCCTTTTCCCTTGGAGAGATCTAATCTGGCCTACTGTCTGGTTCAAATTAATCCTGGTTTCACGATCCAAACAGTTCATTTTGTGAGGTTCATCAAGTATAATTATTTATATAAAAAATTAAGTTGATCGAAAATCAACAACTATTTAATCAAGGAGTTTTCTTAGGTGTGCAAGTGCACACCATGTGCCACTTACACAAAAAGTGTAATTGTAAGGTGTAAGTATAAGTATAAGGTGTAAGTGTAAGGTATAAGTATAAGGTGTAAGGTGTAAGTGGGTTGCATATGGTGTGCAACCTCAAAAAAAGTGTAAGTATAAGGTTTAATTTTTTACAAAAGGTGTAAGTGTAAGGTGTAAGTGTAAGGTATAAGGTGTAAGGTATAAGTTGCACACCATAACAAAACCCTTTAATCAAATCATGTTTATCTAAAATAAAATAAATACACTATCTTCAAATGCATACAATTTATCTATATTTTTTTAGACAAATGTGATCTAATCAATTTAATTTTCAATATAAATAATCCATACAACAAATCTTATAAGATAAAAGAGTAAATTACAAATACATCTCCTAAGGTTTGCTGAAAATATGAATTGCCCCCTGTGATTTGGACAATTACAAATATCTCTCTGTCAGAATTTTTTATGTAACAGAACTAATTAAAAAAAAAGTGAAATTTCTAACTGTTCACCTATGCAATATAATAAAATAATTATCAGTGTGTTTGATTTCAGTTTTCTGAATTCAATTTTTTAAAAACTAAATTTTTTATTTTTCTTATTTTTTTTTAGTAAATATTTTTAAAATTTTAAGTAATTTTTAATTTTTTTTAATGCACCTTACTTAGATGTATCTAAATAGTAAAGTATTTGTGAAAAAAATAAAAACACAAAAATACGAAAAATGTATTGAATTTTTATATTTTTTTTGTATTTTCCGTGTTTAGTGAATTTTTTGAATTTTTTTTTCACAAATATTATACTTTTTTAAGTGTATTTATGTTAGGTGTGTCTAAAAATTTTAAAAAAAATGCTTATAATATTAAAAAATTCATTGAAAACAAAAAAAAATATGAAAAAAAAACCGTAAAATTTTCTGAAAAGCATTTTCTAAAAATCAAAACCAAACAAACTATATGTTTGTTTTACCAAAAAAGGTCTCTATGTTGCCGGTCATCACATAAGCTCAAGAGTAACAAAAATATTTTGGAGCTTTAATTTGCGAGTTTTAATATCTTTAATGTGTATGTGGAACCCATCTGATGTGATATTTTGGCCTTATTTTTTCTTTTCTTTTTTTATTTTATTTTATAATTTTCCACCTCACTAGAGATCAATTAGAGCTCTAGTTTTAGAGGGATGTATCATTGTTATCAAGAATAAAATACGTTGTGTCAAAAATCATTTTTATCACGCATTACTAAATATATGAACAAATTAAATTTTATTTTTTAAAATAGACATTAATTATGATTTTGAAGTTGACTAGTCTATTTATAAAATAAAATACAATTTGTTCATTTATTTATTAATATTCAATAAAGCAAATTTTTGTACAAATAATTTTCACTGTAAAATTTACGAATGAATGATTCAAATTATCTTTATGAGTCTAGAGGATGGTTCACAAAATAAAACATGAAGAATTATCATTAAAAAATAATAAAAACATGTATTATAAATAGAATAATTATTTATCATTGCAAAAGAATAGTCATTGACTATAATGAACCAACCACAATATTAAAACACTATATTAAAGTGTACACACTAACACAAAAGTTTTATAACATTTTGCATAGGGATGGCAATGGAGATCCTACCCTATAGGTACCCGTGGAGATCCGATCCAAATATATGAATTTTTTTCCTTTTTTCATACCCGTCTGATCGATTAAGTGGTATTTTATAAATAGTCATACGATATGGGTCCGGAATGAATATCCGCCCATTTCCCCATATGTTGTGTTTGGAATCTCCGTTCTTCTGTTCCTTTTTCCAAGTGAAAGAATCGAAATGTGGCTGTCCAATTCTTCAATTCCAGAAAGTTTTAACAAAATGAAACCAGAGAGAGAGAGAGAGAGAGTAGTGGAGAAAGAAAGTTGATGGCTATAATGAAAGAGAGAGGGAAACGGCAACTTACGCAGTAATGATACACACTTTTAATGCTAGAGCTCTAAATCAAGTTTTAGTGAGATAGAAAAGAATAATGTTTGAGAGCTCTAATTTAAGAGTTCTAATGCAACTCTAATGATGTGGAGAGTGCCCATGTAAAAGTAGAACCCACACTCCTCTCTCTCTCTCACTTTCACCTCACTAAAGTTCCACACTAAAGCTCCATTTAGAGCTCTAGAATTAGAAGTATGTATCATTATTGATAAATAAATGTGGACATGTCACACTGTCCTTTATCCACTCTCACTCTCACCCTCCTTCACTTTAAATTGTGTCCTGTTTAGCAATTTTTTTTTTCTTTTTTTTGTGAAATAAAAAAAAATATTTATTTGAAATGCTTTTTTAGTTAAATACTAGATTATTATGAAAAACTTATTTGATTTTCTCAAAATTATATATTTGATTATTTTAAAACAAATTTTTAATTACTTAATTAATTAATGTGTATTTGATTTTTTTGTTAAACCAAACCAAACCAAATAAGATTGAATGTATATTTAGTTTTAGTTGGGACTCTTAAAAGAAATAAAAAATAAAGGTCAAGTTGGGTTGGAAAAAATCTAAACTCATTAGGGGATGGGAAAAGTAGTACACACAGAGAATAGTGAATGGGAAATAGAGAAAAATCATTATAAAAGAATGAAGAAAAAGAATTAATATCTACCCTATAAACCCTCATTGTCATCCCTAATTTTGCAAGAACAAAATGAAATACGTGTTTTTCAACTAACAAAAGGGAACAAACCCATTTGGAGGACGTGGGCCCCACCAGCTCAGGTGGCAGTATATTGGGCAACCAAGGAGACATTTTTTTTTTTTTTAAGATTGAGGACAACGATGGAGATAGAATGTGTTAATGAATCTAAATTCACATAAGGATATTTTTAAATAATTTTTAAGTGAAATTTATGAATTTGTAATATTATAGTATTTGTTAATTGGACAACAATCATCTCTTTTAGGACAACTCGTTTTTATTAGGAAAATGTTTAGAATCTCTACAAAGGAGGACTCCCACTACCCCACTGATGTATTGACTATTGATGTGTCTGACAATGACATGAATCGTTCGGATCATTTTGAGAATTGTGAGCGTTGTGTTTTGTGGAGTCTTTATCATTACTGTTTTTATTATTATTAAATTTTTAATCAGCACAACTATCTATCTTCATCAATCTGACAATCATATACTATAAAAGGGAAATATGTATTATAACAACAAACTACCGCAAGTAAATAAATAATAATTGAAATTTCCATTATTTGACTATATATATAGAGGCACTTGCAAACCAAGCTCACCACACAGACACAAATACAAATACACAAAGACTAGCTAGAAACAACATTGAAGAGGCAACTAATGGCTCAAAACAATGATTCAAAGCTTCACATAGCCATGTTTCCATGGTTTTCCTTTGGGCACTTGACTCCATATTACCTCCATCTCTCCAATGAGCTCGCTCAAAGAGGCCACAAAATCTCATTTTTGTTGCCAAAAAAGGTCCAAATCCAATGGGAACCTACAAATCTGCATCCCGACCTCATCACTTTCTATCCCCTCACCGTTCCACATGTCGAAGGCCTCCCTCTAGGCACCGAGACAACTTCTGACATACCCATTCTCTTAACTACTCACCTAGGGACTGCCATGGACCTCACTCGTGATCAGGTGGAAACATTGCTACGCAAATTGAAACCTTATTTTGTTCTCTTTGACACCGCTTATTGGATATCAGAGCTAGCATCAAAGATTCGCTTCATGAACACCGTGCTCTATAGTGCTGTTTCTGCAGTGACGGTAGCAATCCAACTAGTCCCTGCACGGAAAGTTTTTGAGGACATGACACTAATGGAGGCCGAAATGGCAAAGCCACCACCAGGCTACCCATCGTCCACCGTGGTGTTACGTAGGCACGAAGCTCTAGCACCGCCGGTCATATCATTTGAATTTGGCCTTGGAATAATGCTCCATGGTCGTTTCACAACCTCCATGAAAGAATGCGATGCAATCTCTATTAGAACATGCCAAGAAATTGAGGGACAATTTTGTGCCTACATAGGAAGCCAGTATGGAAAGCTCGTGTTTCTAACAGGACCTGTCCTGCATGAAGTGATGAAAATGGAAAGGTTGCTTGAAGACCGGTGGGCGTGGTGGCTGGAGGGGTTCGAGCCCAACTCCGTTGTGTTCTGTGAATTTGGGAGCCAATTGATCCTTGAAAAGGACCAATTCGAAGAACTTGTTCTAGGGTTTTGATGAAATGAAGAAACTAAGAACTTTTTATTATTATATTTTTCAGATACATCAGATGATGATTTACAATGCTTATTTATAGACTTGTATGTAAGCTCTAAGTTGTTACAACTGAGTGATAGTTACAACTGTATGGCTGAGGTGGCAGGAGCTTCAGGAAGTTTCTTTTTGCAGCTGGAATAACAGAATCAGTTGAAGCAGTTGAGCTGCTATTCAGCTTCAGCTCAGTATCTTCAATATTCCCCTGCAAACTGATGGGGTGATCAAGAACCATGAGCTTGGACTTGAGATATTGAAACCGAGAGACACTTAAAGGTTTAGTAAACAGATCAACAAGCTGATCAATAGTTGAAATGTATTGCAACTGAAATTGCTTAGCCAGAACCTTATCTCGGACGAAATGACAATTGATTTCGATATGCTTGGAACGTGAGTGGAAGACGGGATTGGAAGCTAGAGCTATTGCAGAGAGATTATCACACCAAAGTATGGGTGTAGTAGGGGAAGAAATACCCATTTCAGTAAGCAGCATGGAAATCCAACTTAACTCAGCAGCAGCATTGGCTAAAGCTCTATATTTAGCTTCAGTAGATGAGCGAGACACTGTGGCCTGTTTTTTTTTGCAGACCAAGAGACCAAATTGGAACCCAAGAAGACACAGTAACCAGAGGTTGATTTTCTGTCATGAACATCTCCTGCCCAATTGGAATCGGAATACCCATGAACATCAAAAGTACTGGAGGAAAAGGACAAGCCTTGAGTGATGGTGCCTTGAACAATTCTAAGGATTCTCTTAACTGCAACAAAATGTCCAATGGTAGGGGCATGCATATGTTGACAAGCTTGGTTGACAGAGAGAGAAAGATCTGGTCTTGTAATGGTGAGATATTGTAAAGCACCAACAATACTTCTATAAAGAGCTGGATCAGAAAATGGTAGAGAAGCATTTGAAGGAACACTAGGCTTGACAGAGATAGGTGAAGGGCAAGGCTTACAAGAGGACAAGCCAGCTTTAAGAAGAATTTCTTTGGCATATTTAGACTGAAATAAAAGATATCCTGAGCTGGTAGGCTGGACTGAAATACCAAGAAAATAAGCAATGTCACCCAATTCCTTCATGGAGAACACACTGTGCATCTTTGTAATAAGAGATTGAATGTGAGAAGAACTATCACCAGTGATCAAGATATTATCCACATAAATCAACAGATAAGTGACTGAAGTGGAAGTCTTTTGAATGAATAAAGAAGAGTCACTCTTGCTATTAGTAAAGCCTTGAGACAACAAGTATTGAGAAAAGGTGGAATACCAAGCTTGTGGTGTCTGTTTTAATCCATATAAGGCCTTGTGTAGTTTACACACTTGATTAGGTGAGGATGAATCCTCAAAACCTGGAGGCTGAAGCATGAATACTTCTTCTTCAAGACGGCCATGAAGAAATGCATTGGAAATGTCTAACTGTTTAAGAGACCACTGTTTAGCCACTAGACTGAAAGTCTCATGAAAATCAATACCCTCTTGCTGCAGGTACGTAACAACCCTCATACTGTTTACCGATTAATGACTGATTGATTACCGATAAACATTGATTACCGTTAAACTGAACTGATTATGACTGATAATTAAACTGATTAAAGTCTGAACTGACTGACTGAAACTGGAATTGAAATTGATGAGTGTGTATGTTAAATTGTATTTTATCTGTCTGATTGATTATTTGATCTGTTTGCGTTTTATGTTTAAATTGCTAATTGAAGGCCTATCGACGGCCGAACCGGGAATTGATTGATGTTTTATGAGCTCATAATTAATGCGAAAATTATGATATATTTATCTGAAAACTGATTAGGTATGATTAAATTAGATTAAAATGAGTTAGAGTGCATGAGTTGATTTATTCACCATTTTGGCCACACTTAGTGGCCACATCTCACATACATTGTGAGCCTTGTGCATACTTGAACAACGTTTCCATCAGCTCTTTCCCTTGCTCAACCGACCAAGATAGAGAGAGAGAGAGAGAATTGAGTTGATCTTGAGTTCTACTTTGTGAATTGCTTGGAGAGATTGAAGAATTGAAGTATAGATTGCATATTTGAGCTCCCAAACCTTGATATACAAGACTTAGGTAAGGATTTCATCTTCTCATTCTTGTGTTTGAGCTAATTCTTGCATGGTCCATGTTAAATTGTAGAGCTAGCCATGTTTTAGTTCATACATGTTGATATAGAGCATAATCCATGCATGCATGTTTGAATTGATGAGTTTTGAGTTGAATTCATGGTAAAATTGTCACATGTATGTCCATAATTTTGTAATGGTCCACTGTTTTCAACTTGTTTTTGGATTCAATTGGCTCCTTAGAGCATCAAATGTGAAGCTTTGAATTGATTTGAATTCTTGCATGTTTGCATGTTGTCCATGTTCATGAAATTGGGTTTGAATTGAACACCCTTGGGCTTTGATTTCTTAAAATTGAGCTTTGAACCATGATATTCTATGTGTTTATAAAGTTTTCCATAAAATGGGCCCAAGAGGATTGGTTTTGATGCATTTGAACCTGGTTTTGGCTTGGAGTGGCAACTGGAATTCCCAGATTTTGCACTTCCGCTCGAGCGGGAAAGTGGCGCTCGAGCGTGGAATCCGAGCATCCAGTATTTCTCTGCACTGTTTTACAGTCCGCTCAGAGCGGAGGATTGGGCGTTCGAGCGGAGGATTGTGTCTCGAGCTGGAGCGGGCGTCGAGCGGAGATTTCACCCATCCGGTACTTTTACAGTACGCTCGAGCGGGAAATTGACGCTCGAGCGTGTACCTTTGTTGCATGACCGCTCGAGCGGGAAACCTGCGCTCGAGCGGGACTCTGTTTTCTGATTATTCTGAAACTGTTTTTTTGAGTACATCTTTGCATCCTCATCCCATCCTAGGCATGCTTAGGCATAGTTTTAAGAGCATCTTACTGAGGATATAGATGTAGAACAACACCGAGGCAATTAGGGATTAAGTTGTTATCTTTCCCAGCTGTGTAGCTTAGTGTGTTTCAATCTGTTAACTGTGTAGGGTTGGCGACTGGAGAGACACGCTCTAGCATACTGTAGCCGCAAACTCTATGAGTAACGATTGTGTAAAGATATGTCGAAATGATTATCTTCTGAACAACTGAACTGTACTGTTTTCTGAACTGATTACGGTAACTGAATGAATGTATGTCTTATATTCTGAACTGTATTGTGCATCCTTAGCACTACTGTTTACTGTTACTGTGACAGAATTCTCTGTTGGTTCCTTGTTGAAACCACTACTGTTTACTGATTGATGGCCATCATTTACTGTTCGGTCTTTTAAGACCTACTGTTTACTGTACTGCTATGCTAATGGATGTACCACATATGACTGAATAACTGTTCTGACTGAAAGACTGAAGTATTGTTTAATGACTGCTTTCATACTGTAAGGACATTCATTCTTAACCTCTTTTACGCTTTTATGTTATTCACTGGGCTTAGCTCACTGTTATATATATATGTAGGTGCTCAGCCGCCAGATCGGAGCTAGGAGCGTGGGTTAGACTCAAGTTTTGTCAAGCCAGCCTTTGTGCCTCACTGAGAGGTTCCGAGTTGCCATGTTATGGCTTTGGGGTGTCTTGTTTTTCCCCCGTCTGTCTCCATACTGTTTGGATTACTGTATAGACTGTTAACTGCTAACCGTACTGTTATCAAGGGATTAGGTCTGTACTGTGTGACTGTAAATTTTGTATAGACTGTACTGTTTGTATATGTGAATGCATGAAAAATCTTTTTGGCATACAGACTGACACAGCTCAATGGACACTATTCATTTACTGTATTGGCTTCCGCCAGGCCCTGTACTCTGTTTTACTATTCTACTGTTCTGCAGGCCTTCGGTAATCTCGGATTACTGGCCGGTTACGGTGCCAAACCCATAGGGCCAGGTTTGGGTCGTGACAAGGTACCCTTTGGCAACCAATCATGCCTTATACCTTGTAATAGTGCCATCAGAATTTTGTTTAACCTTGAAAATACATTTACAGCCTATGGCAGTTTTGTTAGATGGAAGAGACACTAAAGACCAAGTATGTTGGTGCTGAAGAGCAGAGAATTCTTCAAGCATAGCTTGATGCCAAATAGGAGACAGCAAAGCTTCTCTATTAGAAGGAGGTTCAGAATTAACGTAGGAAGCAGTGGCAATGGCAGTGGGAGTGGAAGCAATCAAACAGTGAGGAGTAGCAGCAGATTTGGGTCTGGTAATCATAGGATGCTGATTAGAATGAGAAGGAGGTAGATGAGGTAACTCAATAGAAATAGACTGAATAGGAACTGCAGAAGCTGGTAAATAAGAAGTAGAAGAGGGAAGATAAGGAGATACTGGACTAGAGAATGTCTGAGAACCAATAGAAGAAGAGGAAGAAGGCCAGAAAAAAGATTGAATATCAGGTAATGTTGGTAATGTTGAAGAGGAATGAGAAGATATAGAAGAAGCCAGATGAGCAAAGGGAAACACGTGCTCATTAAAGACCACATGTCTAGACAGATAGACTCGACCTGTGAGTGGATCAAGACATCAATAACCTTTAGCAAAAGGATGATAGCCCAGAAAAACACAGGACACAGATATAGGATGTAGCTTGAGAGGCTGATAAGGCTTAAGCCAAGAGAAGCATGGACAACCAAACACGCGAAAATATGAGTAATCTGGAGTGTATTGAAAAAGCTTTTCAAAAAGAGATTTATGTCCAAGCTTAGAAGAGGGAAGCATATTAATAAGAAAAGTAGAAATAGCAACAGCATCAAACCAGTATTGTAATGGCACAGATGAGTGATGAAGAAGAGCAGTAGCAGTTTCAGTGATATGCCGATGTTTTCTCTCAGCAATACCATTCTGAGAAGGAGTGCGAGGACAAGAATGTTGGTGAATAACACCTTGGGTACGCAAGAAAGATTGCATTTTATTAGTAAAATATTCAAATCCTCCATCAGTTCTCAAAATTTTCAATGATGTATGAAATTATTTTTCAATATAAGCCTTGAATTCGATGAACCTATCACACACTTCACTTTTATAAGATAATGGAAAAAGCCAAGTAAATCGACTAAAGTCATCCACAAAAAGAAAGTAGTATTTATAACCAGAAGTAAAAGAATATGGCCCCCATACATCACTATAGATTAGAGAAAGAGGAGCATTTACAGTAGTATTAGACAATTGAAAATGAAGTCTATGACTTTTAGCTATGCAACAATCAGTACAAACAGATGCCATTTTATTCTAGGAAACATTCAACAATGGTTTAAGATGATTATACTTCACTAAGGAGGGATGACCTAATCTATTATGCCAAACAGAGAAAGAAACAGGTGTATGTGATGTAGTAAAGTAAGAATTATGGACAGATGGATCAGCAGTTAACATAGATGTAGGAGTAGAGTAAAAATGGTATAGGCCATTGGTACTAGAACCTTGATGAAGAATTCTCCTCGAATCCTTGTCCTGAATCACAAATTTAGAATCATCAAAGGTGATAAAACAATTATTGTCCTTAGTAAATTTGTGAACTGACAGAAGGTGAGAAGAAATTGAAGGAGTATGTAAAACATGATTCAATCAAAAAGAACAATGAGGTGTAGGAAGCAGTCCCTTACTAGTGTTGTGAATGGGAACTGTAGTTCCATTACTTACAGTGATCTGATCTGATATGATCCTTGATAGGGCCGTGAGCAACTGAGATGTTGAAGATCATGAGTGATATGATCTGTAGCAGCAGAGTCCAAGTACCAAGGCGTTTGAGAAGTAGAAGCGGCTGCTGATTGAGTTGCAGCAACAAATGCTCTGGAGCTGGACTCAGAAGGATGCTGAGAACTAGAGGAAGATTGATACTGAGATTGATACTGAGAATCCATCCGATACCAGCAGTCTAATGTAGAGTGACCAAAACCTCCACAAATCTGACATTTCCAATGCATTTCTTCATGGGCGTCTTGAAGAAGAAGTATTCATGCTTCAGCCTCCAGGTTTTGAGGATTCTTCCTCACCTAATCAAGTGCGTAAACTACACAAGGCCTTATATGGATTGAAACAGACACCACGAGCTTGGTATTCCACCTTTTCTTAATACTTGTTGTCTCAAGGCTTTACTAATAGCAAGAGTGACTCTTCTTTATTCATTCAAAAGACTTCCACTTCAGTCACTTATATGTTGATTTATGAGGATGATATCTTGATCACTGGTGATAGTTCTTCTCACATTCAATCTCTCATTACAAAGATACACAGTGTGTTCACCATAAAGGAATTGGGTGACACTGCTTATTTTCTTGGTATTTCAGTCCAGCCTACCAGCTCAAGATATCTTTTATCTCAGTCTAAATATGCCAAAGAAATTCTTCTTCAAGCTGGCTTGTCCTCTTGTAAGCCTTGCCCTTCACCTATCTCTGTCATGCCTAGTGTTTCTCTAAATGCTTCTCTACCATTTTCTGATCCAGCTCTTTATAGAAGTATTGTTGGTGCTTTACAATATCTCACCATTACAAGACCAGATCTTTCTCTCTCTGTCAACCAAGCTTGTCAACATATGCATGCCCCTACCATTGGACATTTTGCTGCAGTTAAGAGAATCCTTAGATTTGTTCAAGGCACCATCATTCATAGCTTGTCCTTTTCCTCCAATACTTTTGATGTTCATGGGTATTCCGATTCCAATTGGGCAGGAGATGTTCATGACAGAAAATCAACCTCTGGTTACTGTGTCTTCTTGGGTTCCAATTTGGTCTCTTGGTCTGCAAAAAAAATAGGCCACAGTGTCTCGTTCCTTCACTGAAGCTGAATATAGAGCTTTAGCCAATGCTGCTGCTGAGTTAAGTTGGATTTCCATGCTATTTACTGAAATGGGTATTTCTTCCCCTACTACACCCATACTCTGGTGTGATAATCTCTTTGCAATAGCTCTAGCTTCCAATCCCGTCTTCCACTCACGTTCCAAGCATATCGAAATCGATTGTCATTTTGTCCGAGATAAGGTTCTGGCTAAGCAATTTCGGTTGCAATACATTCCAACTATTGATCAACTTGCTGATCTGGTTACTAAACCTTTAAATGTCTCTCGGTTTCAATATCTCAAGTCCAAGCTCATGGTTCTTGATCGCCCCATCAGCTTGCAAGGGAATATTGAAGCTACTGAGATGAAGCTGAATAGCAGTTCAACTGCTTCAACTGATTTTGTTATTCTAGTTGCAAAAAGAAGCTTCCCGAAGCTCCTGCCACCTCAGCCGTACAGTTGTAACTATCACTCAGTTGTAACAACCTAGAGCTTACATACAAGTCTATAAATAAGCATTGTAAATCATCATCTGGTGTATCTAAAAAATATAATAATAAAAAGTTCTTAGTTTCTTCATTTCATATTTTGCTGCAATTAAGAGAATTCTTAGATTTGTTCAAGGCACCATCACTCATGGCTTGTCCTTTTCCTCCAGTACTTTTGATGTTCATGGGTATTCCGATTCCAATTGGGCAGGAGATGTTCATGATAGAAAATCAACCTTTGGTTACTCTGTCTTCTTGGGTTCCAATTTGGTCTCTTGGTCTGCAAAAAAACAGGCCACAATGTCTCGTTTCTCCACTGAGGTTGAATATAGAGCTTTAGCCAATGCTGCTGCTGAGTTAAGTTGGATTTCCATGCTACTTACTGAAATGGGTATTTCTTCCCCTACTACACCCATACTCTAGTGTGATAATCTCTGTACAATAGCTCTAGCTTCCAATCCCAGTGACCTTTAAAGCCAGAAGAACGACCTCTGAGATTAGAATTGGAAGAACCTCGAACAGAAGAGAAGGCCATAGTAGGTTCAGAAGAAAGTTTCTGAAGTTTTGGATTCAATATGAACAGCTTCAGAAAGAAGAAGAGCAGTCAATTCTTCTATAGAAATTGACTCTGATCTGGCTCGAATGGTAGTCTTGAAGGCATCATACTCATCAGGTAGACCATTCAAGGTCAGCAAAACAAGATCTTCATCATCTATAAATGAAGAAACAAGAGCCAATTGACTGACCAAGTCTTTGATCTTGGAGAGATAATTCTCCATCGAATCTATTTTCTTAGAAATGCTGTTTAATTTGTTCTTCAACTGATGAACATGACATCGAGAAAGTGAAGTGAATCGCTTATGTAAAGCAATCCAAATCTCAGCACAGCTATGAAGATGAAGAACAGATGAATAGATTGTAGGTGACAAAGTTGCAGTAATGCAACTGAGCAGGTGTGCATCAATAATTTTCCATTGCAGGTATTCAGGATTGTCTTTTTTTGAACCAGAAGAATCTATAATTCTCATTTGTGGACATGGTATAGTACCATCAACAAAGCCAAGAAGACTAGTAGCAATGAGAATATTCTGCACTTGATTTTTCCATATCATAAAGTTTGATGCATCAAGCTTGATGGTGATAAACGAAGAAAGGTTCAAAATCAGTAATGAGAGATTTAGAGGAAGTGAGGTTGAAGCCATGAGAGAAGATAACAAAGAAGTTGAAGGAGCCATGGATCAACTCGTAAGAGAGAGTTGCTTTGATACCATGATGAAATGAAGAAACTAAGAACTTTTTATTATTATATTTTTCAGAAACACCAGATGATGATTTACAATGCTTATTTATAGACTTGTATGTAAGCTCTAGGTTGTTATAACTGAGTAATAGTTACAACTGTGTGGTTGAGGTGGCAGGAGCTTCGGGAAGCTTCTTTTTGCAACTGGAATAACAAAATCAGTTGAAGCAGTTGTACTTGCAGCAGTGTTTGTAATAGAATTAGTTGAAGTAGTTGAACTGCTATTCAACTTCAACTCAGTATCTTCAATAGGTTTGAGTTAACGGGGCTACCATTTTTAGTAGCCTTAAAACCGCCTGCAGGAGTAGCGACGGTGGAAGAAGCGTTGCCGAAGGGGTTTAAAGAGAGGATTGGAGGCAGAGGAGTGGTTTATGGAGGATGGGTGCAACAACCACAAATATTAGGTCACTCATCTATTGGGTGTTTTGTGAATCACTGTGGAGTTGGATCAATGTTGGAGTCTCTATTGAGCAATGCTCAAATAGTGCTTGTACCACATCTATGTGATCAAATCCTCAACACTAGGTTAATGGCTGAGGAATTGAAGGTAGCTGTGGAGATAACAAGAGATGAAAATGGTTGGTTTTCAAAAGAGAGTTTGTGCGAGTCTATTTGCTCCGTAATGGATAAAGATAACGAGATGGGCAAATTGGTAAAGAAAAATCATCTCAAGTGGAAAAAAACCCTAACAAGCCAAGGCTTCATAACTGACAATATAGATAGATTCGAAAAACAATTGCATGAGCTTTCTATTTGATTGATGTGTCTCTATATTAAGAGTCTCACATTGATCTAATTGCAATTCCATGATCTTCAGGTGTGTGCCATGTAATTTTTTTGAGCTTCTAGTTTGTCAATGTTACTTATTTATGTATTTTCATGAGAAAGGGTGGTACGCAATTTGAAAAAATTAATCAATAAATTATTAAAAAATAAAATATGTAACTTGAAGTGACGTACTAACTTTCTTGTGTAGTAACTTTCTCTAGTGGAGGCTCCTAGGGCTCTATTCGGTAGAGTTTTAGAACTTTAATTTCACTCTTTGATTTGTACGTGATGTTTGTTTATAGTTTTTAAAAATAAATTGTACGCTCACTTTTGAAAACTCTGTCAAAGGCGGGAAAGGGCTAACCAGTCGTCCTCCCGGATGACCGGCTAGTTGACCGGAACAATGTATTTTTTTTTTTTTACAATTTCCACCTATTATTTTTTATATTTTTAATAAAAAAAAATTCATAATTTTTTAAATTTTTTTTATGAGTTTTGAATAGAATTTTGAGTTGTGTGTTTGGTTATGAATTGTAAGTTTTTGTATCAAATATCATATGTTACATCAAAAATTTCTCACTCAATTCAAAAATTTTTTTAAAATTCATTCACCAAACAAATTTTACACACTCAAATTAAAATTTCAAAACTCACAAATTCAAAATACAACTTCTATTCTCAAATCATATTTAAAAAATTCTACCAAACGTTATCTAAATTTCTCGTGGAAGGAGGTGACCTTTAAGATCCACCTCCTCTAGTTGTAAAAAAATATTTAGTTTTAAAATACAAAAAAGAATTTTGAGTTGTGTGTTTGGTTATGAATTGTAAGTTTTTGTATCAAATATCATATGTTACATCAAAAATTTCCCACTCAATTCAAAACTCTTTTCAAAATTCATTCACCAAACAAATTTTACACACTCAAATCAAAATTTCAAAACTCACAAATTCAAAATGTAACTTCTATTCTCAAATCATATTTAAAAAATTCTACCAAATGTTACCTAAATTTCTCGTGGAAGGAGGTGACCTTTAAGATCCACCTCCTCTAGTTGTAAAAAAAATATTTAGTTTTAAAATACAAAAAATAAATCTTTATATCAAATTTATTTTTGATGCGACCTATTATTGATAAATTTCTAATACCCTATCCATAGGCCGCCAAGGATTTACCAAATGATCAAAAGATCAAGCAATTGTAATGATTCTGCTTTGCCTTGAAGATTCAAAAAACTTCTTTAGAATAATTGCAAGAAAACAATTAAGTAATAAGGGTTAATTACAAACAGTGGTATTATAAGTACCAATTAGTAAATCAATATATATAATGATATTATTGTTTTAAAATTATAACCCTATTTATTATACAAATTATAAATACTCAAAATTTTTAAAATTATGTCACATTATTTATTAGTAGACTAATCAGTATACTAATTGGTGTATATAGTATTATCCAATTACAAAAGAGTGATATGTGAGGCTAGACTTAAGTCAGTCTTAATTCCAGAGGTCATTTTAGGTGATGGTATATAACAAGACCACTTAATTATAGGATAAACTACTAATTTGTCTTAATAATTGGACTTAATTTTTATCCAGTCCTATTGAAAATAAATCCTAGTAAAATCATCGCTAAAAATATTTTTTTTGTGATGATTCTTTACGTACATCGCTAAACATTGATAAGTAGTGATTTTTTTATTACGATTTTTATAAATTGTTATTAAAACTTACAATTAGTGGCATTTTTCTGTAACAAATTTTTTAAACTGTCACTAAAAATTGTAAATTAGTAACTTTTTTTTGTGAAGATTTTTTTAAACTGTCGCTAAAACTTATAATTAGTATTTTTTGTGACAAATTTTAAATTGTTGTTAAAAATTAACAATTAGTGACGTTTTTTAATAATATTTAATAAAAAATATCATTAATTATCATATAATTTATTTGACAATAAATTTATTTATTAGAACTTACCCATAAATCTCCTTAATTTTATAACAGTAAGTCACAAACTCAAAAATAGACGAGATTCGCCCACACTTCAAATACTGAATAGTGTTGACCCAAATAATTGACATTAAAGAGGATTGAACTCTGAGAGTTGAGGTTAAACCAAGTACAAACGGATATTTCAGTAACTATAATAACAATAATAAAAAAAAAAGAATAAGTAAATTAAAAATATACCTCTTAAAATTTGCTTAAAATATAAATTGTCTTATGTAGTTTAAAAAATTACAAATGAGAGGATAATTTATGTGAAAATTGGGCCGAGCTGGGAAATGGTCATTATGGCCCACAATACGAAGGGCTGAGTAAAAAGGCCGTAAAGTTACTCCGGCCCGAGAGAAATGTAATGTTACTCCGGTCCGGAAGCGACTTGGAGTTAGGCCGGTTGGAAGACGCTTTGAAGTTAGACCGGTCTCAGAGTTAGCCCGGTCATGACGTATTGTGGTTAGACCGGTTATGACTTTGCTACTCGGTAGCTCGGTCTAACCACGACATTCTTTGTACATGAGGGACCGAGATAAGGAGTAGTGAAAAAGAGAACCGAACTAAAGACGGTTCGGTCTACTCTGTGGCTCGGCGTGATCATAATTACTTCGGTTATACGGGAGTTCGGCCATGATAAAAGCCATCTCACTTGGTTTAAGCAGTGAGGGGGGTGTTGAAGGATAAGCATTGTCCTTCAAGAGTATGAATCCTAGGAGGACTCTGCGTGGAGAAGGAAAAGTCCTACTAGGATTGTGCCACACGAAACCTATAAAAGCTCACAAACATCACCTTTGGAGAGGTAACACAACTTTGCTTTCTGAATACACAGAGCTTTTGTCTATTGGTCAAGCTTACTGACTTAGGTATCGGAGAGGTTTCCGGCACACACCCGCCGGCTAGCTCACGTTTGTGTTTTCAGGTAATAAATCAACGACGTACAGAGGAGCGCAGACTTGATCAACAGGATTATACGAGAAGGTTTATTTCTTTCCCGTACAATTGGCGCCGTCTGTGGGAAAAACAGACAGGACAAAACCTCTTAATCAAGCTTTATCTCTTTAGGAACAATGGCGCACAATGAAGAATTACCACAGTCCGCCATCGACGGGCAAACACCAGATGGGGGTGCAAGGCGTGAAGGATTACCTTCTGTAACGCCCTCAAATTCATAGCATTAAACTCATTAAATAAGACATGCATTGACACTCAAATGTTCCATATTCTTTCATATATCAAAGTTTCATTACAAAAGGTATTACATGTTAACAACAAAAGCAAATGCCTTACAGGCTTACAGCTTTCCAAGTTAACACTTGGTTACACCAAAAGAGTACTAACTCGTACACATTAAGCCCTTGGCTTGTATTTACATGTAATACATCAAAAAGTAAAATCGACACCAGTGTGTCCGCCTCTAGCCTCCCTAGCTATGTCCTTGGAGGTGGCATGCTTCCTGTACCTGAAAATGATATTCCCATATAGGGTGAGCCACAGCCCAGTAGAAATACACTAAACCAACCATGAACAATGACTAAAATATTAGCAATACAATCACATCACATTTTTCTCATAATAAAAAAAAAGAAAAAAAAAAGAACCATTAAACTAATTACAATACAATCTTATTAAAAAAAAGAATCATTAAACTAACTACAATCGTATTAAGGGTTGGGTGTGCAATGCTTTTTTTTTTTTTTTTTTTTTGGGGGTAGTTGTGTTAGTTTGGATTTTTTTTTTTCAAGAGTGGTTATGTGTAGGGATGTGTCAAAAAATTAAACATTTTATATCAACTCAACCTGTGTTGTTTGATAAGATGAGTGAGTTGAGTTGGGCGGGTTGAGTGATAAAATTAACTGACCAATTAGACAGTTGGGTAACAAATTAATTGATCAGTTAGGTTACTGGTTAAAATTTGTTAATTTCATATAATTTTGTACGAGTTTATGTTATATTTTTATTTCAAATCAAGACTTGGAGGAAATTGAAATATTATTATTATTATTTTTGTTTTTGAAAGGTAGTTATGTGTAGGAGTGTATTGGACTGAATGAGTAATAAAATTGATTGATCTATTAGACTGTTGGGTGGTAAAATTAATTGATCATTTAGGTTGTTGGTTAAAATTTGTTAATTCCATATAATTTTTTACGAGTCCTTGTAATATTTTTATTTCAAATCAGGAAGACTCAAAGGAAAATGAAATGCTATTTTTTTTTTTTCAAAGGTGGTTATGTGTAGGAGTGTGTCAAAAAATTAGACATCTCACACCAACTCAGTTTGTGTGATTTGCTAAGGTGAGTGAGTTGGGTTGAACTAGTTTGGTGATAAAATTAACTGATCAATTAGACTGTTGGTTAAAATTTATTAATTCCATATAATCAGTTAGGCTAATAAATTGGTATGGGATGTCTAGTTTTTTGGCACACCCTTACACATAACCACCATTCTTTGAAAAAATAATAATAATAACACATCCCAACAAATAAATTAAAAAAAAAAAAGAATTCGAGGCGCATTCGAGCCTTAGAAATTGAGGCCGCTAGCACTGCTGAATTTTATTATACAGACAAGCATATCATATACATCTTTAATTATATCATTTTTTTTATGGATTAATTACCTAAAAATCCTATCTATATATTTGGTGGTAGCTTAGGTCCTGTCAAAAATTTTTTGAACTAATAAGTCCCATTTAGAAGTAAGAAGACGTTTTGCCCTTTAATCTCAAAATTAAGAATGTTCTCAATTTCAAAACTGAGAATGTTCTCAATTTATAATTATCAAAACTAAGAAATTTCTCAATTTTTTTTCTAGTGTGAACTATGAATATTATCAAAACTAATAAATTTATAATTATCAATTTTGAGAAATTTCTCAATTTTTTTCATTATTAAAATCAAGAATATTATCATTTATATATCTAGTGAGTCATTGTTCTTCAACCCAGAACCAGAAAGCTTTGCCAATACTTATCATTTATATGTA